TATATTTTTTTTATATATATATATATATATATATATATATACACACACACACACACATAGGTATTCTAATAAATTTTTTGTTGCTCTAATCTAACTGCAGTTCATAAAGCATTACCGTTTTGCTTCTAATTAGTTATGAATTGATAAATATCTTTCAATGTATTGAATGTAAAATAAATATATATATATATATATATATATATATATATATATATATATATATATATATATATATATATATACTGTTAAGAATTGTTGTTATGATTATGGTTTGCATTGTTTATAATTGATCGATGATTATCAGTTGAATTTTATTAAGAATAAAAATGATTAGATCCAAAATATATTGTCACGTATAAATAAATAAATTAAAATAAATTTATAAATAAATACGGAATAAAATCGTATATAAATAATTATAACCATCTTTTCTACAATAATTTTCAAGAAGTTAAATTAAATTTGTCAGCATGAGTACGTAAATGATGTGTTAAATGTTACTTTACCATTACTGAACAATAACTCAAACTATGTTACTTTAGAGTAATGAATCTAATGTAATGAATTTAATGTAACGAGAAAAGAATTCAATGTAAAGAATCATTTTATAATATTATATTTACTGATATTTGTATAATGAGAACAGTGTATGTGTGTAAAATGTACTATCAATTGTGTTTTATACTTAGAAATAGTTTGTGTGTTATATAAACTATATCTGTTATATGTGATGTTACGTATAAAAAGTTGGGCGCTATAACGTCCCTTTAAATATAATTAGTTTGCAATCGAAGTCACTTTTTACGTGGATTGCGTTTTCCAGCTTCACTGATGCTCAGTTGCTGTCTGTTTTATCAAGATCAAAGTTTTTTCAAATAAATTAAGTTTTAGTTAGGTAATTTAGTTTTTTTTAGTGTAGAAATTAATTAGTGTTAGAAGTTTTGGGGCTCGCTAATTTGCAATACAAAAATTTAATTTGGAAAAAAAATTTTTTTAGCAGTTTTTGCAGTTTTTACTAATTCAGGAAGATGACAGATTTTGATAGCCTGAGCAGAAATTTTCAAAAGAAAGTTGGACGTACTAAAGAGAAGGTTTTTATTTCTTTTTCATCTTCATGTATTTAATTTTAATTTAATTTCTATTATATTATTTGATCATTTTGTAAATTTTATTTTGAATTTTAGGTTTTGATGTCCTTGGGTCGGGCAGACAAGACAACTGATGGGGATTTTGATGTCTTGGCCAATGAATTTCATGAACAACACGTAAGTAATAATCATAGTACTAATAACAACAACAACAGCAATAATAATAATAAATAATACTTCTAATAATAATATAAGTAGTGATAGGTATATTTGCACAAAATAATTTTTATGCAGATAATTTATTTTATTTCATTTTCAGACCACAGCAAACAAACTGCTCAAGACATTTAGAAGTTACATCAACCAGCTTAAAGGTGATTGTTATTTTGATTATTATTATCATACATAATTTTTTATGCTTATAAATTGTTTATATTATCTTTATTAACACTAACATAATAATAGTACATATTTGCATACATACACACACACACATGCACACATTGTTGTCTAATGTTACTAAATAACAATATAAGCTGATAGCAACAGTTCCATACATATTCATGTTCTTACAATTTAGTAGTTTTAGTAGTAGCAGTAGATGTAGTAATAGTAGTGGTGGTAGTGATGGTAATAGTAGTGGTGGTGATGTTAGTAGTAGTAGTAGTAAAAGTTGTAGTAGCAGTAGTAGTAAGAGTAATAGTAGTAGTAGATCAACACATTGTTAATATTAATGGCACACATATGTTTAGCTACTGCAATCTAGCTTGCATTTTTTCTTGTATATATATATATATATATATATATATATATATATATATACGTTGTTCATATGTATATATGTATATATATATATATATATATAAATAGCATATTTTTGTATACCATATAAATGTGCACATATTAATGTAAATATGTGTGTGTGTTTGGCTTATATATAAAGTTTTTATTGATTGATGTTTGTATGTTTTGAATTTTATAAAAATTAAACACACACGCACGTGCACACACACACGCATTCACACTCACATTATTATCACATTTGGAAACATAATGAAAACAAGTCATAACAGTATATTATCATTAATCATCATTATATATATATATATATATATATATATATATATATATAACTAATGAATTGCCATCCTTCATTAAAAGCTTTTTTATTTTAATTTTAATTAATGCTTCATCATCATCAACAACATTTTCGTCGTCGTCATCATCATTATCATTGTAATCATCATGATGATGATGGGAATGATGTCTATGCAAACATCCATCCATACGTACAAACAAACAAACATACAAACATTCATACATACACGTCAACTAACATAAACATTCAGTCATTATATATATATACAGACATACAAACACATACACGCAAAAATACATAAAAACACACATACACACTAACATACACACATACATTCTAATTAGTGTATCTACTAATATTAAATTTCTTAAATCTAACATAA